GTGAGTGTTACAGCCTGACATTAATATTCATCTTCATCTGTCCCGCTGCATGAAAATGTAAAGCATGTATGTTAGTGGTGCTGAAGTTGTGACTTTAAACTGTTTTACCAGGAGGCTGCGATAAAGTTTCACATTGAGTTTGAGATTCTTTTGACCCGAGCCATCAGAGAGAAACAGTTCAATATAGTATCACAATACATGTTAAAGCTTTCAGCTGATGCTATTACCCACAGCTACTGCCTGCATCTTTTCAATGTCACTACTATAAACCTGGGAGTGAAAATGCATCACTGTTTCACCTGGAAAGAGCTGCAAGTAAAACATCAGGGAAAGTGATTTTTACAAACTGAACTTAAACCCTCCCTTTGTGGTTCTTAAAGTTCTCTATTGATTGCAGACATACAGATACGAGAAAATCTTAATTAACTACTTTTGCCATCATCTGTATCATTTGACATCAGATGGGAATTAACTAGTTAGCTAAATCTGGTACAAAGCATCTTTTCTCTTCTGAGACTAATGTTATTTAGTACAATGTCCCTGATTTAAATATATGAATAAACCAAAAAATATGCATACATATATATATATATATTTTTTTTTTTTACAGTCATAAAACTGCACCCTGCAAGGATCCGTCAGAGAGAGATTACCTGTCTAGACTCTTATTTATTTTTTCACTGTTACAGACCCAAAGAATAATACACGTCCTTTGTTTCAAAAAGATGATCATAAGGTTCATAAAAATGTATATTTCTGTATTCAAACTTAGTTTTTGTAATACCCCAATGGTATTAACAATGTCATGACCCCGTACGTTTCTCTAGGACCCTTCAAAGGGGACTAAACTCTCGATAAGAATCCACTCGACAAAGCTACACAATACTGTAAAAGAATTAAAATGAGAAATTTCTTCTGGGAGGTTGACCTTGAAATGCAACATACGCATTGTAAGTCTGTAAAACTTTTACTCTACAGCTTTTGGCTAATAATACATCTATATGTTTACAGGTCGATGCATGTAATCTTTTTGTTGAAGTATATTTTTACTCTGTTATATTGAAACTCAGTTCCATTTGCATCTTTGGATATTAACAAAAGTAATAATGGTTACATGTGAGGCTTGTTTATTTACTTTGAATGGTCACAGTCAGAAAGATGTTTGGTTGGCAGTAAGGACTAGATTAAAGACAAGGTGAAAGCTGAAGTCTTTAGGGAAGATGGTAGACTATAAGTCAGGCTCACATTTAAAACTAATGACCCACCAAAGACAGTTTGAACTGTGATCAGAGATAATACAACCCTTTTATCTCCAAACATGTCATTTCCCAGAGTTTGGTTTTCAGCACAGTGCTTTAACTTTAACATTATCTTACCCATCTAGATCTTTTTCTGGATGTCGTCCTGATGCTAAATGTTACAACGGGCATTTGAACTCAGTTGCCATTTAATGAAGAGCGAGAAAAACCTAAAGGGTTGGATGTATGTTTAACTTACATAACGTTCATTAAAGCTCCTGGGAGGAACTTTCAATTTGTGTCAACTTTGGCGCCCCCCTGTGGACAAACCTGTACCTTCTGTCTCTTTATTCATGAAGTCCTTCTCGTTTTTTGTTTTTTTTTTGACAAAAAGATCATTCACACAGTCGTACCAATGACTGTGTGAATATTTGCTGTGGAAAATACAAAAGGAAAGACGGTTTCTGTTTGTACTCTCGGCTTTGTCTGACACATATACCCTGCTGTAAAAGTCCAAAGCATCAAAAAGAGTAATGTAAAAATAATGACTCTTTCTGCTGATGGTCTTGTTTGTATTTTTAAGGTCATTAAGAACCAATTTCCATTCATTTCAGTTTGTGTTATAACCCGATTTAAACTTCTCACAGGAGCTTTAAATTGTCTCTTAATGTTTCAGTTGGTGGTTTTAGTGTGTCGTCATATTGATTCCTCAATCCAAACAAAATGACTCTTCACTTTCTTGTTGCAAAGTGATAAAATGTGAAATGTTTCTCAGCTAGCTAGATTTTGAAAGTCTTATCAAGTGTTTCACGTATATGTCGTGGTCTGAAGGGTTTCTGTATCCACTGAACGAGCTGTTGATTTGTAGAGTTCAGAGTGAGAACATGGTAGAGTCACTTCTTCAGAAAGAAGTTAGGAACATCTTTGTCATTTGACCGGAAACACACGACATTCCTGAAGAGTTCAGACTGATTTCACTTGCTGCGCTTTGTTCAGTCATCTGTATTTCTGGCTGCCATGCGGGCCGAGCGATGCCGGCGGTTTCCTTATTTCCCTCTTTTAATGAGATGACGGGCTGAAGAACCGCTGATTGTCGTCACTGTGAGATAATTACCCCCAGCTTTAACTAGAGTTGAGTAAGTGTTTATGCAGTGTTGATTTTTCACCCTGGCATCTGCCCTCCTTCCATTAAAAGTGACTAAAGCAGTTAAGCTGCTTCGGCGCGCTTTCTTTAATAAGACAGTGTGGGTGAGGAGCGTCTTTGCTGCTGAGTGTGTGTGTCCGGAGCCTTCTGTTAAACTTCTGTTTTACACATTCAGGTGCTGCAGTTCAGTATTCAAGCAACCATGTTTTAATGTGTCAGAGTTTCTACTTAAGAATCTGTGGATTTGATCGCCCTCTCTTTGGACATCTGAGGAAAAATCTGGGAAATGTTCCAAAGGGTTCGATCACTGGAATGTAGGATTTATTTTACAACTGGTTTCACACACATCCAGGACCATTTTCAGCTGTTTTCTTTCTTCCTCCGGGGCGAGACCAGCTGTATGGAAACAGACCCGCATGCTCTGTTGGAAAAACAGCATGAAGGAACCAGGAAGGAAGACAATGTGAAGGTCCAAGTCCTGGTTACCCCTTGTGTCACTCTGTGGGTTCAATGTGTCAAAGCAAGGACACAGTTAAAACCTCTGTGAAGTGATTTGTCACATCCAGGGATTCTGGTCCTGGTTGGACGCAGCTCGCTTCAGACTGACACGCTGGTCTCTCAGGGCGAGCTGCAAGCATGCGGCTGGATATGCCAACAACCTCCGTGAGTGTGTGTGTGTGTGTGTGGAGCCCGCTCTTTGTCTCAGTCACTTACTAAGCCCATTGATCCACCACCTGCTCTGACCCACAGAGGGTACGGCCAGCTTGGGAATTGAACTTTTGAGGAAGCACGGTTGCTTATATTGCGGGCGCAGAAGGAAGGAAACATCTGACACGCACATACAGAAACACATAACATCAACAAGAAATATAGCAAGAGCACAGAGCCACTGTTTGGACAAGTCAAGGTTTTTACTGCGGCACATTTTTGAAGGCGCTCGAGCTGGAAGTTTGCATCGGTGTTATTCAAACAAGAGACGTCATCAGGGGACAGAAACGTACAGAAACAGGTGCTAGACAGAAACTGAACTGTAGATAATTTAATACGCCATTTTGTTTTATAATCGTCAAGAGTCGGGGTGAGACTTCATATTGATAAGGAAATATGTCATCGCCCTACCTTGTGCAATAGAATTATCTTCTCTGGTGTCAAATATAGACATAAATAATTTAATAAAAGGAAATAAAATATGACTCACTACTTCATGACTCCTAAGAAGCTAAAGGATGAAGTGTGATAAGAAGTGAAACTGACGCCAAATATCAGTAAATGAAAACATTGATCTGCTCTTAACCTTGTCAGAGACATTTCATATCCTTCAGTTAATCAGAATTTTGATGTATCATTATATGATTGTCTTGCAGTATGGCAGAGTCACTGTATTGTGATGCTATCTTTACCGAGGGCCTCGTATCACATGTCGTATCAGAGTGTATGGTATTGTGTTGTGCTGTGTCTTTTCACATTGTATCGCTTGACATCATATCGGATTTAAACTTACGAAGCCATTTCCAGCCCTAGTTGCGATGATGGAGGACTGAGGGTGCACTAACGTTTTTGGTTTCTTTCTGGTGAATTTTCCAGTTTCAGAGGAGTCAAAGTCTGGTGCTAAACATCTGGACTGAGACCTGCAGAGGACTCTTTCTTGTCTGTTTTTAGTGGATGCTGTGCTTCTTCATACATTGCACATTTGCATTAAAACCTTTAATTTAAATAACACTATCAGTAAATTCTTCTTTTTAGGAAAAACCTGTGAAGGAAGGTGTCCACCCTGCTAAAATGAATTATCATTTAAAAAAATAGATCTATTATTATAAAAATGTGGGAAGATTTGTGTTAATATTGTCACAGTCTTCAGGAATGCTTTCTCACACCAGAGAATTTGAATCAACATGTATCGCACTGTAAAGTGCAGCATGAGCGGCCATCGGTCAGCAGAGTTTGATTAACTCCACTTGGCTCCATGTAGCACTGATGATGTACGATGAAGGTTGCCAAGTTGTCCAATCATTGATTTACCCTGCAGGCCATGTGACTTACTGCTTGCAGCTCTTGGCTCATTTGCAAAAGTCAGCATGAACAGCCGGACCAAAATGCAGTAGTGTCTCTTTTTCTCTGGTCGGACCAGATGAACTAAAACCATCAAGGTGATGACACATGGACTTATGGCTGTTTAAGAGCAAATGTATTTGCTTTGGCCAGTTAGTCCAATATTCTAAAGTTATAAATCCTAAACATAATGTTTTTTAACGCCGGTGTTTTTTCTGTCCAACTTCAGCTATTTTTTTTTTTTTTTTAACTTTTTGAATCTTATTGGCACTCATCTGTGCACCCTGGACAGCTGCCACTGGTCACCTCACACCTGGAGTTTAAGCGCCTTGGCTGGGGACATCACAGTAGCAGCAGCTGTCTTAGTGGGGTTAGACAAGTCAGATTTACTTCCTCTGCACAGATTTCTTTTTTACCCTCTACTGGGACTAGAAGCAGTCATCCCACCATCACAGGCCAGTTTCTCTAAGTGATTGGTCGCTGCTCAGGCCGGTCAGTGGACAGAGGCCAACTGAGCAGCTGCTTGAAGCTGAGGAGCAAAGACCAGCGCGGCACCAGCATCTTTACAA